CTGGTGCTGCTGATGCTGGTGCTGCTGCTGCTGCTGCTGCTGCTGCTGCTGCTGATGCTGCCGCTGCTGCTGCTACTGCTACTACCACTACTACCACCACCACTACCCACTACCACAAACCACTGCCACCGCTAATGCCACGACCACTCCGACTACCACTAACTACTGCAACAGCGTTCACCCTGAAACCGTGAATGCTAAACCCCAGCTGGTGCTGAGATCCGCGGCATTTTGGCTGCTGTTCATCGGCCCGGAGCCTTGCATCAGCACCACGCACTGCACATCAACGGCTTTCGGCCTTGGTATGGGTTTAGGGCTTAGGTTTTAGGAATTTGGGGTTTGGAAATTTTGGCTTCGGAAATTGGGGTGTAGAGTTTCGTGATTTGTGGGTGTGGGATTGAGGGTTTAGGGTTTAGCCAGGGAGGTTCAGGGTTTATAGGGTTTAGCTAGAGCGCATTCCCGGGCTCTGGGCTTACCCATTCACAAAAGCCCCTGCGCAAGAAACCCGGATGTTGCTGACATCCTGGGCTACAGCGAACGCTTGGTCTTCAATAGGCAAGCTCGGGCTAATGGCTGAGGTTTTCGGCGTAATCCTACGGTCCTACAGCCTTAACCTTAAACCCTAAACGCCGGGTGTAGGAAATCAGACTTAAGTTGGCAGGGTCTGAGGCTTCTAAACGGTTCAGACTTGACGGAGTCACAGGGTTTACCCTAAGCCTGGCGATCAGGAAGACGATGCCCTCGTTTGAGAACCGGTCACTTTTACTTCAGTCGATCATTCGCGGACGAAGCCCAAAGCTTAGAGCCCTGATCTGACAGCTTAGGGTTAAGGCTAGGGTTTAGGCCTAGGGTTCAGGGCTTGAAGCCCTGGACCTCAGCACCCTCGAGCCATAGATCCCACGACCACTGAATTCTATCCGATCACGCAAACAGCTACAAGCCCGAGGCACACAACAATCTGCACTAAAGGCGCTTGAGGCCCAAACCACAAACTCGCAACGCTTGGACGGCTCCAAGAAGCGCACCGGGGTCTTGCAAGAAGTGGGCACACGGTTGGTGCTCTGAGAAAGCCCATGCAGTGGGCGGAAGCACAGGTGGCCGGCCGGCTAAGCCAGGCAGACTAAGCAAACAAGGAGTTAGCTTTCAACAAAGCCAACGCCCTAAATGAGTTAGAGAATTACCCCTAACCCTCCAGGTACCTACTCTGTACCTGGAGGGTTGGGTACCTTATCCCCAAGCCCTGAGCCCCCAACCTAAACCCCCCGCATCGCCAGGGGCGACTCACAGAAGCGCGTGCCAGGCTCAGTCAGGGCTTACAGTGCGCTTCGGCACTGGCACGGGCAGGTATCGCCAAGTGAAGAGAGCCAGAGGGATGGATGTGAAGACAAATGCATAGAAGCCGCCGAAGAGGTCCAGGAAGATCTCAGACGTAATGCTCACGGGTTAGTGGCTTCGGCTTTTTTTGGGTTCAGGACCGACAAACCCCTAGATCAGGCCACGGGTGCTGTATAAGGCATAGGTTCATAGGGTTTAGGGTTTAGGGAAAAGGGGTCTGTAGACGAGTTTAGGGCTTGGCGTCTAGAGTTTAGGGCTTAGTGTGGCTACCTGTCTGCTATCCAAAAAGCGATTGACAGTAAAAGGGCCGCCCCGACAAAGAGGACGAGAAAGGACAGGAACCAGTCGAGCAAGTGGCAAGGTGGCTGAGCCTGCCACTGCCATGGAATACAGGGCTGCCCTATAGTAGAACCACTTATTTCAGGCATATAATTACAGTGATTTCCGAAAAGAACTACAAGTAAAAAGTGGCTTTAATAATTGGCATTGCATTTGGGGAAAATACAATGTAGCCCAATGGGCACTGGGGAATAGTATTCATATTACGGCCCTGCGTGACTTACCTTGCCAGTCTTAGGAACCCATATTATGTGATATGGGAGTTTCTGAAAATTAGGGTACCTTATTATTTTGGGGTTCTTATAATAAGGATCCTACTTTTAAAGTACTATATTGGGGGTCCCCTATTTTCGGAAACCCCCATATCGAAGGAGGAGCTCGCCTGCAGCATCCATGTTACGCGAAGCAGAACGCGGAAGATAAAAGGAACCACCGCCAGCCTAGGCACTCGGTTTAGGGCTTAGGGGTTCAGGGCTTCGTTGAGGCGGAGATATATACCAAGAGCCAGGTTAACAGGGTTGCAATGCGAAGCCAGGAACACGGCGTTAGCCCCGTTGCCGCCTCGTTTGCCGGCTTTGCGTCCTGAAAGCCCTGTGCACTGGCACTTTCCCACCACCTCCCACGCAAGACAAAGCTTGAAAATCCCAAGCCGTGCTAGCCGGTAATATCCAGCAAAAGAATTTCAGACGCCCATCTCACATCCTTTCCACTGCGGCCCGCTCGATTTCTTGATTACAGCACTGGGTTGTTCTGCTAGGCCCTAGGCCTTTTGCACTTCCTGAAGCAACTGAGTACTCCTCCACGCCGTGAGGGACACAGGAGAAATCGTAAAATACAAAATACCACCTTTCTCTTGCCTGGTGTGGGCTTTGGGCTTGTGCCGTGACGTTCGTGTTTCAAGAAATGCTCAGATTCCGCGAACTCAAAACCTGCAACAACTATGAAAGAGCGCCGAACATGTTTGGGGAAATGCTCACAACTTGCGCTGCGAACCCACAACCTGCAACAATCGTCGAAGAGCCAGTAGATGATGCCGCGGATGAGGTGCTGCACACCAAAATCGCTTCCACTATGGCCTTCCTGCAAAAAGATCAGAAGGAGGATCTTGTAAACATGGTAGGTTAAACACTACATACCTGCGAAAGCCAGACGTCACCTATTCAGCTGCCATGACCCTAGGTCCGACACCTGCCTAACGGCCACTTCACAAAGGGATCTCAACGCTTGGCTAGGGTGTGTCGTAGGTCCTGATTACCTAGGCGGTACAGTACGGCTCTGCTGAGTTTTCAGTCGAAAAATCAGCTTGAACACATCTTCGGCACATCTGGCTTCGTAATGTGCAAGGCCGAAGAGCTCGAAGCCAGCAACAACAAAGACACCATTTTGGGCTTAGGTTTCAGGGCGTGTAAGGATTTGTTACGTGTTCTTCCATCCCCGTCCTGCAATCCGGAGTACAAGCGCTCGGCTGATTGATCCAGTAGCATCCAAAAACAGATCGGAGTCGCCTTCGAGCGTCGGTTCCAGGGCTTACAAACAACATGTACTTGTGTGTCTTCATATATATATATATATACACACATATTTGTTTATGAGAGAGAGAGAGAGAGGCCCCTTTAGGGTTTTTTTGACGCCCTGCTTAAATCAGTATTTCACGTCATATAAGCCAGATAACAGAAATAAGTCTTCGGCCCTCCAAATTTCAGCCCCGATGGTTGATTTAATTCCTTCGATTATATGCCTCGAATAATAGAGGTTGTTGAATCACCTTCACTATCTTCATCATCTTCCAGCCCAGTCCCCCAGCCCGCCTCCCTTACTTATATAACCGAAATAATTCAAAAACGGTGGTGACTCGTTGAGGTAAAATCAATCGCATCATTTTGTTATTAGCAACTTTTTTGTTGGCAAAATTTGCTGACATTGGCAGTTGTATGATTTAACCATAACCACGAACAAGTCAATCGCAGCAAATTTTGCCCGAGAAATGGTTGGGAAAACTTGCTGTGATTGGTTGTTTCCTGCTTTAGATATAACCACGAACGAGTCAATCACAGCAAATTTTGCCCAGAAAACGGTTGGCAAAAACTGCCGCTATTGGCTGTTGGCTGATGTAACCACCACCACGAACAAGTCAATCGCAGCATTTCTTTCCCATGAATCGGTCGGCAAACTTTGCTGCGATTGGCTGTCTCCTGGTTTGGATATAACCACGAACAGGACAATCGCAGCAAGTTTTGCCCAAAACTCGGTTAGCAACTTTTGTTGCTATTGGGTGTGTCCTGACTTAACCATAACCACGAACAAGCCAATAGCAGCAACTTTTGCCCAAGATTCGGTTGGCAAACGTGGCTGCGATTGGCTGTTTTCGGGTTTAGATATAACCACGAACAAGTCAATCGCACAAGTTTTGCCCAAGAAGAGGTGGGCACAAGCTCCGACACTCAATAGTGTAAACCAGTGTCTGCCTGCAGCAGCAAAAACGCAAACCTTCCTGTAAACCCGTCTTCCAACAACAAATCTTTAAGGTTTTTATTGCAAGTCCACATTCAGAAATGCAAGCTTTTTTTTGTAGACCCGTGTCCTCCGCCAACATTGAAAACATATGTTTTTTGTAAACGCATGTTCTCCCTATCATTGTTGTATGTGCTACATTATGACCAAGGTTCCTGCTATGACGCGGCTGGCTATGATGTTGATGGCACCTTTTGTTCATGACTACCGTTGCTCACATTGCCTCCTTGCGCATGATTTGCTTGTGACTTATTGCTAGTACTGGTATGGTCACTGATGATATCAATGATGTGAGAATAGTTACTACTAACTACTAGTCGTATGGATTGCAGTTGATGTTGTTATTGCTGTGGCGAGTGACAGAAAAAGTCCAATGAGGGGGACACTGCTTGGAGTTCACAACCCCATCTTGATCGTCATCATACCACTTCCCCTTCATTCAGTCATTGTGTTCTACCTCCCCATTCTCCCTCAGCTAACCTCTCCAAGCTTTCTCGCGTCATCTTCATCGTCAACATCTTCAATTATTATTGTTATTGTTGTTGTTGCTGATGTTGGTGTTGATGTTGTTGCAAAGTAAAATCAACTGACATTAAGGCATAGACTACAAGAGCTGTAAGGGGGTACTGCTTCCGGTTGACGGCTCAAGAGCATGAACACCAAAAGACAGGAGGGGACCACTGCTTGCGATTGAGGATTATCATAAACCGTCCCCTTCCTTTGACCTCTATGACTCCCCATCCTCCCGCAAACAAAACTGACCTGTCAGTCTTCGAACCTTCTTCTCCCGTACTCGTCTTTACAATATTCATCATTTGTTTCTGCGGTTGCTGCTGTTGTTGTTATTGTCGTTGTTGTTGCTGCTGGAGTTGGTGTTGGTGTGGTTGACCCCCGGGCTTACTAAGGGCTCTGGACCAGCATTCATGCCCGTATACTGTTTGTTGTGATACTGACGGTCACTGCTTGCTCATGTCGGCGGTTGTTCACATTGCTCACTAATGTTTTCATCTAGCTATGACTTTAAAGAGTGGCTTATCACTTGCATGATTTTATTTAGTATTATTACGAACGTTTGTGCGGATGAATACTGCTAACTGTACTGATTGCAGATTTTTGCTGCTCCTGACATTGTTGATGTTGTTGCTACTGTTGTCGTTCGCTGCTGCTGTTGGTCACAGTGCTTGTGAGCGGGCTGGGGGGCTTGCAGCTGATGTTACAGTTGGAAGATTGGAAGACTCACACAAAAGGAACGACAAAGACCAACTCAAAGGAACGACAAGAACCAACAAATGCAGTAACATATAATATATACAGCTTCAAGTACAAATATTGCAAGCAACACATACAACAAGCGAAGCTAGACAACACTCAGTAAACACTTAAGGCAAGTATACGAACACAACATCAACAGCAGCATCCAAGAATACTATGCATGACCATAATGGCCATTATCAAACTGTTTTATTACATACTGTACCTGCCCGCTTGCTTGTGATTCGATCAAAGCTTGTTTATGCTAGCAATCCATTTCCGGTTACATGAAAGGCAACGAACGGGATATATATATATATATACATACATCCATTTAAATGTCTATGCGTATGTATATGTCTATGATTTGTATATGTACCTGCATGTGCATAGACAGACGTGTATATTTGTATGAATCCATGTATGCACCCACACACACACAAACACACACGCACGCCTGAAAGTATGTGTGTGTATACATACGTATATACATATATACATATACATATATATATATATATGTATGTATGTATGTATGTATGTATGTATGTATGTATGTATGTATGTGTGTATTCATATATTCATGTCGTATTTGCAGACATACGTGTATATGCATGCAAAAAGCCGGCAGGCAGGCAGACAGACAAACAGCAAGCCAGTAAGACAGACATACAGACAGACAAGTGATTACACACATGCACACCTACTTACAATACATACATACGTACGTACATACATACATACATACGTACATGCATACATTGACATATATCCTACATACGTACATACCCATATACATACGTGCATACATACCACTACTAACTTACATACCTGCTACGGATAAAGACAGATAGACAAACAGACTGGCATGCACAAGTACATGCAAAGTTACACACCTACATACGTATGCATGGTTCCTGCCATGAGAAACTGGGCTGTACATGTAGGTACATAAACCCTTACCTGCATACGTACATGTGTACCTGGGCGGGAGTCTGCGGAACTTAGACAGATGCACTTCGCCGCTACAGTGTTCTGGCTCGGTACCCTATAGCTTTGCGCACCTCATCTAACAATACTGACGATCAGAAGTTCCCTTGAAGTCCTTGCAACGACGAGCCCATTCTTGGGGCTTTCTCCTTACCTTCGGACACTTCCATACCCTGCCGCAGCACCTAGAGGGAACCCTGAGTCAAGTCAAACCCGGAATGCGAGGAGAGGACCTCGGACAGCCGCCAGTAGGAGATCATGTGATACGCCAGTTGATGCGACAGCAAATCACACACCTGCGCAATTGGGAGATGCTGGGCTTATGTCAACTAGGGTTCATGTTGTGATGCTAACACATACAGACGTACATCTGTTGCAGCCTTGCATATCGCACCCTATAAGAAATGTGGACACTTCCTGCTGCATGAAGCAAGTAGCATCTAAGGCCATCACCCCAAAAGCTTGCTTCCCAAGGATGAGGATTTATGGTTAGCCCCGTACTGCTAGCAGCAAAGCCCAAGAAAGAAACAAAGAAGCGGGTAGAACAAGGACACATAGCTCCGCGAACCATGCCTCTTCCCTAAACCCTCAATCCTAAACCCAACTCCCCGTGCCCTGTGACATCGTGGGAAATTAAGCAATGCCTTGTCATACTCGTACAATTTGGAGCCTGTATAACTAGTATCACTTTAGGAACCGGGCCTTGGGCCTCGGCTCGAAACAACCAAACAAAACAATAAGGAAGAAACGACTATAGTCTATAGATGATGGAGCAAAAGGCCATCAATCTGCTGGACATCTTCTTGACCCCCGCAAGACACTGCGGTCAATGGCACTGTACCCAGCACCATCACGATCGTGATCACGACTGACATCATCAGCACCATCACCCACATCACCACGCCTCTGGCATGATCACCATTGCGACCGCCATCACAAATCATCATTGTCATCATGGCAACGACGGCCACTACTTTCCGCACCACGACAACCGTCATCATCACCCATCATCATCATCATCAGCATCATTGAACCACCACCACCATCATTGGCCATCATCATCATCATCATCATCAAAGCAAACCTCATCGCCCCAAGCCACACGACCGCCATCACCACCGCCATAACCATCACCCATCATCATCGCCCACGAGCCCGGACCCTACCAGCTCCACCACCCTCCGCCATCCGACAACATCGTCATCATCAGGTTTTACAGTCAGAGAACGAGATAAACGAGATTGCAACCATCAGGCTACAGGCCTCGTTCTGGACGCGCCGCTCAAAAGCCTCGACGCTACCAAACCATATGTTGATGCATTGCTGGATTACCTGCCGGTCGCAGATCATCGGCTCACCAGTCGCAGACTTGTGGTCCGTTGAGCAGCAATAACCTGAGTTGTAGCTTTGGGGCCCTCAGACGTATTTATGAATAGGTGTTTCTGAAGGACCAGACGACCCCAAGGGAAATATAACCTTTCCCAAACTGCCACCAAGAAACTCTCAGCTGTTGCAATGCGGAACTCACCTATCTGGCGGCACATCGTCGTCACAGACCGGCAATATGCACGGGCCAGGCTCGCGATGAGGAAGAATACCACACCAAAAGGCAACAGCGCCAGAAGCATGATGAAGTACACAGGTGTGCCAGGAAACACATGGAACAGGCTGTAGTAGCAAAAAGTGCCAAGAACAGCGGAGAAGCCAAATGCCAAAATCGCGAATCCCAGAATCGTCGGTCGCAGAACGACGTGAGGCTTCGACCCCTCGGGCCGGCTACGAATGAAGGCCTGGGTTCATGCTGAGCAACTCTTCGGCCCCATTCTTCTAGGTTATATATGCTTAGGCCTTCAAGTGCCTATATGTATATATATATATATATTTATATTTACAGAAAGGTGTGTGTATAGAAAATATATACACATATCTGTCTACACGTACATAGGCACTGTTTCAAGAGCTGAGTATATACTATATACGTACATGACATGGAGACAGCACCCAGACCTTCCAAAGTCCCGCAATGAAGACCGTAAACCCTAAACCCTAAACCATGGTATACTTTGAAGCTACAGTAGGGTCCCCATCATGAGTCTACCAGGACCCTCCAAGTACCCTCAAATAGGGGTTTTACGGTCCCAAATTAAGGATATTTAGGGTCTAATAGAGGGTAGATGGAGGGTCTAGGAAAGTATATTCCATAGCTAAAGGATTTTGGAAGGTCTCTGCAATTCTTGTCCGGTATCCTAGGGGAACTAAGGACCCTTGGGCTTATATAGGCATTAGAGTACCCCAGAAAGGCTAAAGCGCAACGTGAGATTAGCTGCGTCTCCATCGAAAGGTGTGAGACGAGCTTCGCCAGAAGGCTAGGGTTTAGGGTTTAGGGTTTAGGGTTTCGGGTTTCGGGTTTAGGGTTTCGGGTTTAGGGTTTAGGGTGCTACAGTACAGGTTGCCAACTCTACTGGCAGGACTTTAAACACTACAGAAATGAAGCTCGACAGTTTATAGCCGGAAAGATTCTCTCGGAAAAAACAGTAAATCAAGATCCTGAAGTAATACCCTTTTCGGCTTTAGTGCAACCGCAACATAAAACCCTATGGCACCCTTCCGAAGCGCTCTAGAAATCCTGCGGCATGCCTTCACGTCCTAACGAGAACCCAGCGGCGGCCAACTCGAAGACACACCACAAGCGCCGTGCCCACGAGGGATCCCAGAGCACCAGCATACCTAGGGTTTAGGGTTTAGGGTGCCCCCACCTGGGGAACCATTTCTCGTGACCTCTTCAATACCGAAACAGCATCGGAGCCTGTTCCAACAAATTGCAGGTCTGAACAGTCGTCATAGTCATAGTAAGACACAACGTGGCAATGAGACACAACCTAAACCCTAAACCCTAAACCCTAAACCCTTTTAATGAATGACAACACGAAGCCTCAAGCTCCTCAAGCAAATGCCAAGACACTGTCGGAACTCTTCAGCATCGCTCCTAAGCTCAGAAGCCCCTCTGCTTGGAGACCAGGGTCTGTCTGGGAAATGCAAACTCGATCGACAAAGACCAGCTCTCTCGGCTGCCAGAAGAGCAGGACCAAGAGGTATGTCAATGAACCGGTCATCCTGAATACTCGTGCACAAAGACTCCAGGGTTTTTTTGGGTCTAGCTCCGGCAAGGCCACTTGGAGTCTTGCGTTTCCACGTTTAGTCACATCCTTGAAAACACAGGCTTTAGCTGGCAGGCGACAGTCACGATAGTAGTCGCAGTAGCAGCACTAGAAGCAGCAGTAGTATTACTAGTCCTCGTCATCGTCGTACCGGCAGTAGTTGGTAGTCTTAACGGCTTTAGCAGTTCTGTTGCTGTTATTGCCGTGATGATTGATCTGTTGGCAGTGGCGGTTGAGGTTGACGATCAAACGTTTAACAAGGTTCTTCGTTCTTCTGGAGCAGCTTAGAAGCCGAACAAGTCTCAACGATTGAGGCACTGCAGGTTACAGGTGAAGATGTTTGGTCAAAGTAGCTTTCAGGCCAGAGGGCTCTAAAGGCAAGGAGGACAGAGCTGAAACTTCCACCCCACGCAAGCCGTTGACGGGAAGGGATGGACAAAGACAAAGTGGGAAAAGTGGCAGACAGTTGAGAAGACTGGCTAAATGAACGTTCTTACCGCGACCGGCATTTCCTCTCGAGAAGCAGATCAGCTTTGCTCCAGATTTAAATTCTGCGTCGACATGTTTACACTCCTGCCACCACTGTTCTTCATACGATGGAATATCTGTGACCCTTGAGATCACACCACTATCACTGCTGCTGCTACCTGCTACTGCTACTACGACTACCATCACTACTGCTACTACTACTACTACTACTACTACTACGATACTACTAGTGCTACTAGGTCATGCAATTCAGGTACAGAAGCACTGGCAACGTGCATCCGTGTCTCACACACCACCAGCAGGAGCGGCCCTCAGCACCGAAGCCCGGCAGAAGTTTCAGTCCATAGAGAACACCGGCGATCACAGCTGACGTGGTCCCGAGTATCGTGGCGGCACTGGCCTTGTGAAGGAAGAATATGGTGGCAATCCTGGATTCATGGGCTTCAGCCAATGACCGACGTTTCATCGTGTTTTTGACATGCAGGATCCAACGGTCAAGGTGAAACCCTAAGCCCTTTAGCCTTTAATTAACCCTAAACTGAACAAAAAGATGCTTCAGGAGCCAGACGCTTGTGCTTCGCCGAGCCATGCCAGCTGTGAGACCAAAAAGCGTTCAGGCGGGTTGTCGTTTGGCTCAAATCATAGAAATCTCCCGCTGCCTTAGGGCTTGTAGGGTTTAGTGTTCAAAAACCGCTTAACGTGTGCCCGGGGCTTAACTTAACACGGGCCTTGCAGCACGGCCCGGCATAAACACCTGTGAACATCCACATGTCTACCTTTCCGAAGAGGAAAACCACAGGCTGCTATAGTCACTGCTAGTCTATCTTCGAGTTCTGTTTTGTTATATAATATACGGGCTTCGAAATTACACCGAATTGCCAAACCTGAAGCCTTGCACAATCTGAAGCCTTGAAAACTCAACCCAACTACCCGCAGTAAATCAACGTTCCTAAAAGACAAAGCAAGAAATGCAAGATAGAATCCCCCCCCAAACCCCATACTCGAACAGCAGGGAACCTCAAAATATCCCTAAACCCTAAACCCTAAACCCCTAAACCCTAAACCCTAACCCCTAAACCCTAAACATCCCAAGCCAAGCGGCACCCCTCAGCGGCCTGGCGAGGCCTCGAAGGATTTTCCAAACCGGCGCTGCTCGGATCATCTCGGGCCTCGTGGCCTGCATCTGGGCCACCTTCGGGGGCTGTCACTTCCTCTACCCAGAGGCCCTGAAACGTTTAGGTTTAGGGTTTAGGGTTTAGGGTTTAGGGTTTATAGGGTTTAGGGTTTAGCCACCTTCGGGGGCTCACTTCCTCTACCAAATAGGCCCCATAGTAGTTCCTTTTTTGGATTACCTTATAGGATTCTCAATATGAACCCCATATAAGTATACCCCCAATCACTTCCCCTAGGGCTCCAGTGACCTAAATCGTAGGTTGCTAGCCATATAATATATACCCCAGTAACACATTATGTATGTAACTGGAGCCCTTGGGTTCCTTCACCCAGAGGCCCCATAGTAGTTCCTTGTTGGGGATTACCTTGAAGGATTCTAAAATATGAACCCCCAAAAGTATACCCATAGGCCATAGGCTCTGAAACGTTTAGGTCTCAGGGCTTCATAGGGTTTCATGGGGTTTAGGGTTACTTTAGAGTTTAGGGTTTAGGGCTAACTTAGCCCATAGGCCCCATAGTAGTTCCTTTCTGTGGTTCGTGTTTCGGATCCTGTTAGGTAACCCCCCAAAAGTAACTACTGTGGGGCCTATGGGTAATCTTGTTCAAGGAATTGCAAGCCTGTTCAGGCTCGAGCCCTAAACCCTAAACCCTAAACCCCTAAACCGTGACATTTTCCGGCTTACTGTCTAGGGTTCAGTCCTGAGGTTGGGGTCGAAGCTGAAGCTGTGAGAGGATGCGATTTGTTTGGGGGGGAAGTAGATTTGATCATGTTAATAAGTTATATAAGGCATGCTTAGACGGATGGAGCTATGGAAACACTGACGTCGCGCTTCGGAAGTCCACGAGAGCTTGGCGAATCTCTACGATCTTCCTACCCTGAACCGTAAACATTAAACCGCAAGCTCAGAATCTTCTGAATAACATCCTCCACTCTAGTCTCTGAACCTCAATCACACTTTTGGAAAACTCCTGCCTGTTCGCTTACTTGCTGAACCTGCCTTGATTGCGGAGGTTTCTGTTGTGGAAAGGAAGCCTTAAGATTTATAAGACTGCTTTTACAACACGAACAACGTGAACGCATTAGAACATCGTGTGTTCAAAAATAACCTCGCGTGCGCGACTGCGTGCCGGGCAAAAACTGCGCATACCAAAACGGCCCAGATACAGCGCTGCCAGAGATTGTGCGAAAGCCTGGCTGATCCCGTCTGACTTTGAAGACGACATACAGCTTCCCGAATGCCTCGGCGACAGCATTGCCTCAGAAACCTCAGATTTCCTCCTTTCATGTGCTCCCTCGTCGTCAAACTCGCGCATCACCTCGTCGTCTCCGGGATAAGGATCAACATCAATGACCTGGGGTCGTCCGACTTCAGGCACCAACATCTGCATGGCCATGCCGCTTTGCAGCTTGAGGGGGGAAAAGCGCCTAATGAATGCGCCAACATCTAGAAGCTGCAGACCCGAACCCAAAGCCCCAAACCCTAAACCCAACACCTGTGAACCCGGACGCTGCCTAAAGGCCTAAACCCTACACCCTAACCCCCAGGTTTCGGCTTAACTAAAGGTCTCCCTTTAATGTATGTAGAGGCCTCAATAATCAGAATAAGGTTTTGGGGTATATTATACTATAATGATAATAAGGAACCCCCCAAAATAGTATAGGTAATTACTTCCTAAACCCTAAACCCCTAAACCCTAAACCCTAAACCCCTAAACCCTATATAAACCCTAAGGCCCCTATAGCAACTAAAGGTCTCCCTTTAGGCGGACGCTGTTTTTAGATCCTGCCGGCCAGATCGAGCCTTCCCGAGTCTTCCTTCGAGCCCGAGGATCCGACACAGCGCGTCTTCTGAGTTCTTCTTAAGGGATTTAATCTAAGTTATTAAGTTACCATAATATAATAGGGATCTATAGTAAATGATAATAGGGATCTATAGTAAATGATGGGGATTTAATTTAACTTACCATAATATAGGGATCTATAGTAAATGACAGGGATGTAATTTCTATTTTACCATAATAATAAGGGTCTATAGAAAAAATAGGGATGCAATTTAAGAGGCCGTAATAGGGATCTATAGTACATAATGGGGATGTAAATTAAGTTGTCATAAGAGGGATGTCTACAGTAAACAATATGGTTTCTGTAAAATATGGCAAAAATCCCTTGACAAGAACCCAGTCTTCTTAATGTGGGGGCCAGAAATAATTACCTACATTATTCTGGGGGTTCCTTATTATAACTATAGCATAATTGCCCCCGAAACCCTATTCCAATTTTAAGGCCCCCACATTATCTTCCGGAAGAACAACAAAACTGATCATGACCGGGGGGTAATCATCCCCGACTGCTGCCCGCTGCAATGCGTATACTCTCACTCCCTGTGCCCGCAACTTAGCATAGCGGGGCAGCTACCACTCACTCATGATACAGGTTGCGCTATTCCAGTTCCCTCAATTGAAAAACTCCCGGACACAAATCGGAAGTGACATCTACAAGCTGGAGCACAGCCCGTTGCACCACAAAAAATTACGTAGCGCAAGCTGCAAAACCGGAGAAGAAGACATGACACCATAATCGCACAAATCGCAACAACAACAACAACCACCAAAAATCCGAGCAACATCACTTGGCACACCGGCACACCCGGCAGCACCAGACATGACACAAGCTGTAAAACGAGGGAGCGCAAAAAACAATGGTACAACAAGGTAGCACCAGACGTATCCAACAATTGCAAAGCTGGAGAATAAGATGCACAAACACACTGAAAGAACCACGATTCACGATTCGGGCTCTATTGTAGCAGTGTTCTGCAAAACCCACGAAACCTGCAGCAGGCCAGTTGCGTTTCCCGAGCACAGGAAATAGCAACAAACCCCCCAAAAGGAACAACAATGGAGACTATAGGTATAGTAACCCCTCAAAAAAGTTGGAAACCGGATTAAGGACAATTAGTGCTGGGATCCCTGATATATGACTCTTAAGGATTGAGGCTACTGGGTTTCCAAACTTTTGGGCTTCTACTGTAGGGTTTGGCGCAAAACCATCCAAGATATCACAAAACTCTACAAGGAAAGGGCGACCCTGTCAACGTAACTGTGAGTTTGCTAATCCACCACCGTTTGCAATACAGTTCAGGGTGTAGAGGTGTAGGGCTTTGGGCCTTGGGGGGCTTATAGGGCCTATGGTGTTTGGACTTTGTGAACTAGTCTCCCAAGGGAGCCGAAATGGGGTTCGTTGTAGTTTAAGTGGTGTTCCCCGAACCCGGTGCCCTAGCCTTCCAGTAGTCTGGCACTTTCCGGGCCTTGACCCCTCCGGCTCAGAATCGCGCGTGCTCTCTGTGTAGAATGACAAACCCAACCAGGCCTGTCAGTCAATGGTTGGAAGTTTCCGAAAACAAGGGGTACCTTATTTCGGGGTCCTTATAGTAAGGAGCCTACTATTTAGGGAACTATATTAGGGTCCCTTCTTTTTGGAAACCCCAAGTCTGAGCATTATTTTTTTATGTGCCGGAGCTTTACAATCATTCAGGACTGCAGTATCGCATGCTTCCGCATTACTTCCAATTACAGAAACCCTCAAGCAAAACCTGCAACCCCAACCCAAAACCCACGATGGCCAAGCCCTCACGACCTTGAAATCGCAATCGCGTTTGTAAAAACAGCCCTGGTCACGATTATTTGGGGGATCTTATCGCTTTGCAGGGATCTGTTTCTGAGAGGTATCGCCATATTCTTGTGGGACCATTAGATAACATATTATTATTATTATTGTTATTATCATTAAAAGTAGTAGTAGTCGTCGTCGTAGTAGTAGTCGCAGCAGTAGTAGTACGAGTAGTAGTGGAAACGTAGCTAGATTTAAACTGATGACAGTAGTCGTCACAGCTATGGCAGTGATAGTAGTGAGAGCAAACGACCCGGTGGGTTTCGATCAGGGTATCGACTGCCCCGCCACACGGCACACGGAACATTTAGGCACAAATGCGGCGGCAGCAATGATTTAAACTTTAAACTGTCACCGTATCGCTTTGTGGGGGCGGGGGGTTCCTATCGCTTTTCGAGGGCATTCCAAGACCACCCTACCCAGTGGAAGTCTTGACGCTAAACAAGAATCTGAAAAAGAGCTCTAGACCCCCCAAACCCCTACAAACCGTTTCCTCCTGACGAAGCCTCCCGGAGCGAATATGCTTTCAAACGGTGCTTGCAAACTCCCCATACAATTGAAGTGAGTGCGGTTTAGGGTTTAGGGTTGGGTGTATACGGTTTGGGGGTTTGAGCTGTTGGGTTAAGGGTTTTTAGGCTAACCCCAAAATTCTTTATGCAATTAACTACAAGTCTCCGAAACCCACAAGAGTCCTCAGAGCTGGAGGGCCATGTTGACCAGGACCCTCCAGAAGCTAAAACCCTAAACCCAACACCACAGCGTCAACGCAGTACGATACCCGATGCACCGGAAATTCAGGAAGCACATGTAGCCCCAGCCCTACAGACTTCAGGGGTCAGGATGGTCTAACCCTCCAGGTACCTACTATACAGGGCCTTAGGGGCTCTAGTACCCTATATACTAGGTACCTGGGGGGTTCAGGACGGTCCAGGGTTTGAACCCAAAGATGATCCGTGAACCCGAATAGTAGATACTTTGGCCCCAAAGTACCTATATAGGGACTACTTTCAGGCCAATGTATATACCATTTGGGTACATGGACCCTTAGGGGAACCCAAAGATCATCCGTGAACCTCACCTCGAGGCGACCGCAGCCGTTGCAGGGAGAGCGGAACCAACTCCGTAGACCTTTGGGTGCTTTGGGTACGGTTTTGGGTTTAGGGTTTAGGGTTTAGGGTTCAGGGTTTAGGGTGCTTTGGGTGTTTTGAGGTTTTATGGGGTTTAGGGTTGAGGGTTGTGTAGAGGTTTAGGGTTTCGGCATTCAGAGTTTACGGCTCAGATTCTGGTGTCTTGGGGTTCGACGTTGAGCTTACTGTTATTTGGCTCGGCTCTTGTTGCTCAACCTTTGGGTTTGGGGCTTATAGGGTTTAGGGGGTTTGGAGTTTAGGGTTTGTTTGCAACATGAAACGTCTGTTTTAGGGTTTTGGCTGTGGTGCCTGGAGTACTAAACCTGCCACCCTCTGACCCGATATCCTAAAGTCAAAGCCAGGATTTCCAGAGCACCTTCACTCTGAAGAGTTTGCACTTTATATGCTAAGGTCGTATTGAGTTTTGGCCTTCTGGTCCAGGATACAGTTTCTTAGAAGCTAGTTCCGGGTACAGAAGCCAGCTAGTCTCTTAATCCGAAGCCTGCTAGACCCTAAACCCTAAACCCTAAACCGACCCCTCAGGCGAACACCCTTTTAACGTTAAGCCCTTACCACCTCATCGCCGTCTCTACAAGAGCAATAACATATCGCAAGCTCCACAGCTTCAGGCGTAAGCACAGTAGTCATCTCTCAAGCACTAAACTCGAAACCCTAACACTGTTTCATAAACGCTACACCCCAAACTCTAACTGTTTTTGAACACCTTGGCTGTGGCCCACTCCCAGGTCGAACGCAAGAGCAGGTTCATGACCTGCTTCGTATTAGGAATAGAGTTGTCTAAACCGGGATCAGGGATCCCTAAACGGGTTAAGAAGGGGTCTAGGTTTGGAATAGGATTCCATGCTATGCCGGCCGTAGAACCCATTTAATTTAGCCATCCATTGCGGCTACCAGGCTATGCGTACCATCCAGTCATACATACCTGTAGCGGATAAATCCCACCTGTTTAGGTGTCCTTATGATGACTTCTGTATGTCATTCCTGGAAAAACAGCTTTTTTGCGGCCACAGGTAAGGCTTCAGGACGGTAACCCACTCCACGACCAAGGCGATGAAACGTTGAGGTTCTGGCCAACTTGACTAATTGATAAGAACAGGGCCTGGGGCTGCATCATTATGTGTGCGTGTGTGCGTGCAAACAGATTTATGTATACAGGGATTACAAAGGTGTACGGATTGCC